AACTTCTGTTTGATTGTCTGATACAAGTTAATTGCCCGGTCTGTGTATCAAATGCTTCACATTATTTTAATGAGATGCTAGATCAATTCTCATTTGTATGTTACTTGGACTATTTGTTAACTACTATATCTGCTTTTGTTCCTGGTTTCTAGCACGATTGTGTCGCATAGCTACCTTATTAAGAATATTAACACAAAGCTAAAAATGTGAGTCCTATTGGATAAGATTTACAAGGCTTAGCGTATTTCACGTGATCATCAAAAAATTATAAATACAACCTGAATACGATAAAAAATTTTGGAGGCCTATGCGCAAATAGATCATCGCACTCAGCACATATCGATATAGCGCACATAAGATAATATAAAATTTTTAGACAAAAATCTTCTCCACTTTAGACAAAAAGGAAATATGGCAGATTAAAGTGAAATACGATTAAAATGAAATATTTACAATATAAAAAATAGACAATCTACCAAAAAATAAAAATTTTTGGTGTGCATTTTTTAGGGTTAGAGGTTAGGGTTAGAGGTTAGTTTTAGGTTAGAATTTATAATAAACAAATATAAGTAGGTTTTAGGTAGTTAAATAGAAACTCTTATTTCATTTTACAGCTGATTTGAAAATTAGTAAGATACTTGAAATTTTTGCTCATTTCCTGAAACCTTTCGGTTTCGTCTTATGAACCATCTAATTATCCAGAAATCGCATTGCTATTTTTAGACCGAAGTTCCGAAGACAGTGACATAGTTTCCGAAGAGTTAGATGATTCATAAGATGAAACCGAAAGGTTTTGAGAAACGAGCAAATTTTTCAAATATCCCACTAATTTTCAAATCAGCTGTAATTTATGATCTGTGACAATAAATAATGATTTTACAACTCGATTTGGATATGATCTACCAAATTTTGGTAAAAAAAAGATTAGCATTAGAGGGAGTTAATTTAACCCAATTTGATTGGCTATTTGTTTTAATGTGTTTTTTTAACTTTTTTCATATATGATCATATAAAAATGCTATATTTTTAAGGCTATATATTTTAAAAAGTTATTATCCGTTTTTAAATAAATTTAACATTAACAGATTTTACTATTAAATTTAGTATCCAACAGATAACCCCTATTTACTATTGTATATAATGATAGATTACTCTGAAGTACTATTTTTTTTAAAAATACTTATCATAGCATATTTTTTAATCTGTTCACAAATATTATATTCAATTACTATGTTCCTGAAAACTTTTGTACTATCTTTCATAAACATAAAAATAATGCTCTTTTATCAGTTTTTTTATTCTGTTAGACTCCAATATTTTTAGATATTTATTCGTACAAATACTAAAATTTTCTATCTTGTCATTGCCACTGGTATCTATCTTATTATCGAAATTATTCATTTTCAACTCTGCATACTGATATTTACAGATTTTTCTAAGGAGGGTGGACATTCTTATAAGCAACAAGGGCAGGGTGTAGATCCTTATAACTGTACAGAATACCAATACGTAAGAGGATTCTAAAATTAGTTTAAATGACAAGATCTAATCAGTAACAAAGTAACCAATATCGCAAAGTTTAATTGCATTTGATTGCATTATCCAATCATTTATAAGATATTGCGGATAAACTCATTCCTAGTATGGTTACATGAAAAACTACTTTCTGTACAGTATATCCATTTACTATCTGGTATTTTAGCCTGACAGAATGTTTAGCAATCCTAGAAGAGATTACATGATATTATAATAATAAAAGATTGGTTAAATTCATATTAAATCTCAGGTAAAGCTTTTAGAGCCACCAAAGTAGCCGCTAGCATTATAACTAGTATTAGCACACAGAACTAAGAAATGAAGCACCAAAATGCTAACACTTGTTATAATAAATTTTTTTTTTCTTTATACTAAAAATTACAATACTTTGAAGCATTAAATAGAACAAATATTAAATAGGATCAACAGAGCCGAATTGAATAATCCATATAACTCCAATTGCATGGAATGTTAATGATAAATCCGCTCATTTAAATGTGGATTCAAATAGACTTGAAGTAAATTATACGGGTAAGAACATACATTATTACTATATGTATTTTTATGGGTGTGTATTAAAAAGTACTCAAAAATCCATAATCATTTTATCAAAAGATATTTTGTATAAACATATAATAATAAGAACTAATAACTTATTATATTCTAAATTTTATTCAAAATAAGGCGAAAATAGTGATGATGCTATAATTCATACGAATAATCTAATTCTATTACAATGCAAATTGGTTTACTTTGAAATTGATATTATAAAAAAAATGAAAGAAAAGGGTAAGATACAAAAAACATCTGACAGCTTTAAATAAGACCCATTTCCTTATAATTTTTAAATTCTTTTTGAAGGATTATTGCAATTGGATTTTGCACAAAATCAGCTGAACTAAATAAGTTACCCGGTAATTAAAAACTAATTTTTATCAATCATGAAAAATATATATAAAATACACATATTATTTATTAAAAATAATATTAAAAAATAATTCATAGGATGTAGTAAGGACTCGTTGAGATATCATAGTGATGATGAAAATTTTTTTGATTGTTCAGAGCTCGAAGAACCATATAGCCCTACGTTTAAAGCTGCCGATATTATCAAGTATTGCTTAAACTTTAAAAATAACACTGTATTCTATACCAAAAATGGCATGAATCTGGGTAATTATTTTTTAATTTCTAAATTTATTTGAGGGATAAAGTTAATAATTGTTTACACCAATTTTAAGGAATTGTATTTCGAGACTTAAAAGATTTAAAGGGTAATCTTTATTCTTGCATTGGAGTAAAGTCAAAAGGTGAAATGTCTATAAAGGCAAACTTTGAACATAAAAAGTTCAAATATGCAGGGTAAATGAGTTTTGTCTAATATTGAATTTGCATGTCTAAGTTTTTTCTAAGTTTATTTTAATATTATTATTACCTTCATGAATAGCAATAGCTAATGATGATATTGATAATTGATTAAAAGAAAAATAGACTAAAGCTCTTGAACAGTGCAATAATGAAGATAAAGACATGATTGAAAATTTTATAAAGTTATTACAAATTAATGAATTTTCATTAAGATATTGTGAAGAAATTTATCTTATATTAAGCAAATATAAGGAATCAAGTGCAGACTTAAAAAAATTACTAGAAATAAATAAAGATGATAAATGGGTATTAGAAGCCAGTAGCGAAGTTAATAGGCGGTAGTCATCATTATAGAATTTTATTCATATATATATAAATAAATATTATATTTTATTGTCAACAAAATAGAATTAGCTATTAATTATTCGTTCTCTATTCTGTTATCTTTTATTTACCTTATGCTAAACTAATAGATAGTAATTAGTAAGAATACACTTTGTTCTTTAATCTAGATAATGAGATTTTAGGTTCAATCTACAAATTCAATTTTTAATTTAATGTTAATATTGATAATAATAAAAAAGCAAATGCTAATTTCAAAATATTACTTTGTATATCCAAAATATCATCTATTTTATTTGGTAGATTAAAATGTAATAGTTTTCCATTTGCAATTAAAATTAAAAAATTATTGAAGTCTTCATCAGATAGTAATTAAAAAAAATATGGTGAAGCACTCGAATTCACAAGCTGTTTTACTGTTGCTAAACTTTCATTTAGAATAAATCTAATACAGCATATAGCTGTCCAGATTCTTCTCTCCTCTGGATTTAATTTGAAGAAATGATTTCATTTTACATCTAACCTATCTATGAATAGATCTGAATGGTGCAGTAATGCCAAAAGGAATTTCGGAATCTTTTTTTTGTTTGATACTTATCTTTTGATTGCTGTCTGGTAGTTCCTTTATAGCCAGTTGGAAAAGAACTGTGTATGCATTATAAAGCTTTAAGAAATGGCAAAACCTTTGAAGCTTAACTTTAGCATATACTTTTTATCAATGCTATTCTACGTTTTTAAACCTTCTTTTACAGATCCTAATTTATTGCCAAAATTAATATGAACATATTCCCTCTGCTTCATCCTGAACTTAAATTGTGAGCTATCATATTTTAAATCATTACTATGTTCAACATTGGGTTTGGGATTGAGAATCAATTTTGCAACAGTTTTCTATTCTGGAGCTATTTTATTATAAATATAATAAGTTAAATTATGTAAATTAGATCTAATAATAAATATTTACCTGTTTCAATATCTGCTTGTTCATCATCATCATCTGTCAGGTCTTTGTCATTATCTACTGGGTTTCATCATCATTATGTGCCAAGCTATTATTTGCTGCCAAGAATTTTTTCTCTTTTGTTGTCGACATTTTTTTTACTCATTTCACTTTCTTTCTCGCAATCTCTAGCTCTTTGAGTGATACTCACTTTTTACTCTCATTCAAAGAAATTATAGGTTGTATTTCAAAGGTGCTTTAAATAAAATCTTATTAATGAATTATCTTTTAACATACTAAATTAATTTACTATAATTACGTTAGTAATTACCAAAAGTATTTTAGCTTTTTTTTTCCATAGTTTTACAGGGTATTCATCTGCAAATGCCCAATTTTGTAAAGAGATGATCCATTCTAAGTATTTGCTTTTTTGTATTTTTTCAAAAATCTTTAGGATTTCGTCACACCCGAAAATAGATTCAAGTCGCATATTTATGTTTTTCTAGATTATTGTATGATTTTCACCTCCCATCTCATCCAATATTTTATCTAATACAGAGCTGTTTGTTTCGCTATTCTTATCCGCTTGTATACAAATTTGCTGCATTAATGATTGAAACAGTTTATTAACTTATGTTTTATAGATCTAAAAATTAGTGCTAATAATATACCATCCTTTCTTGCTTTAATTTTTCAAGTTCGGATTGGGTTTCCTAGATTTACTAAAGTACTAAGTATA